TTTTCCGTTTAATTAAAAAAAAAAATAAATAAAAAAAAATTAATAATAATCCCGTCCACACATAAAGGGAGAAAACGCTGCTATGAACATGCCAAAGCAGCAGGTGGCGCTAGATTCCTAACCGTGCAGAAATGTTGGCCAATCAGAAGTCTAGAAGCCTCGGTGGGAAAAGTAAACAAAGCTGGGGCATAGAAGCAGAACCGAGTCTTATGTGTGGACGGACAGTAACTGTGTGTATATGTAAGCAAACACTGCAGAGAGTAGGATTAACAGTATTGTAGAAATTCATTTCACCGAAACAATAACGTGGCTCAGTGTGACGCATGCACCAGTTTATTGTATTTCCAGACTTGCTTTCGGCACAATTTACAGTGCACGCTACTCTGTTTTTTGTCAGACTTGAAATAGCCGAAATACCTTCACACTACGGAACTTCTATGGCTCTTCCGTTCAACAATCTCTCCGGCATTGGAACCATCATCTGTTTTCTCTTCGGTCACGCTCGGTTGATTTTTCTAGTCGGCACACTCATTTCCTCCATTACGCGCTGGCTCCATTACCCGCTGGCTGCTTCCCAAACAAACACGTGCGACTTGGCACTTGTGCTGTACGTAACAAGTCACGCGACGTGACGCTGCGGCTGTGATTGGTTCGGCTCTGCGCTACTTAATTTGGATTGGCTGACCTTCCCCCCCCCCCAGAGGACAAGAGCAGCGAGGTCTATCGCAATAGCTTAATTTCTCTATCGAGTAAAAGTTATATCGCGATACATATCGTTATATCGCCCAGCTCTATTGACAAAAAAAATAATCCAACTAGAGCCCTTAGATCTGCAGATTAGTTTCTTCTGACTATCCCCAGAACTAGATGGGAAAACAGAGGTGACCGAGCTTTTGTGATCGCTGCACCCAAACTCTGGAACACTCTGCCCCTTCACATTAGGTCTTCGCCAACAATCGACATTTTTAAAACCTGCTTGAAAACACATTTTCACTCTCTAGACTAGTCCATCCATCCATCTTCTTCCACTTTACCCAGGTCCGGGTCGCGGGGGCAGCAGCCTATGCAGAGAAGCCCAGACCTCCCTCTCCCCAGCCACCTCCTCCAGCTTATCCGGGGGGGAACCACCAAGCGTTCCCAGGCCAGCCGAGAGATATAATCTCTCCAGCGTGTCCTGGGGTCTCCTCCCGGTGGGACAGTCCCAGAACACCTCACCCAGGAGGCATCCTTGTCAGATGCCCAAACCACCTCAGCTGGCTCCTTTTGATGTGGAGGAGCAGCGGCTCTACTCTGAGCCCTTCCCGGATGGCTGAGCTTCTCGCCCTATCTTTAAGGGAGAGGCCAGCCACCTTTCGGAGGAAGCTCATTTCCGCCGCTTGTATCCGCGATCTCGTTCTTTCGGTCACTACCCACAGCTCGTGGCCATAGGGGAGGGTAGGGACGTAGATCGACCGATAAATTGAGAGCTTCGCTTTTACACTCAGCTCCCTCTTCACCATGATGGACCGGTGCAGCATCCGCATCACGACAGACTAGTCTGTTATAATAATTACTATGCATGTTTACCATTTTATCTCTACTATGTGCAGCACTTTGGCTCAACCCGTGTTGTTTTTAAATGTGCTTATAAATAAATTTTGATTTGATACTGTAATGAGTACTAGAGATGGCACGATACCACTTTTTTTATGTCCGACACCGATATCATAAATTTGGATATCTGCCGATACCGATATGAATCCGATAGTGTTTTTTTTAATCAACAAAAGTGTTTTTTAAAATATCTTGCTGCATTTTGCAAGTCTGCAAGTTCATACTCAAGTTTAAAACAACTACACTAAAGCTATTCTGTTATACCTGTATGCAAAAAAAAAAAAATATTTCATAGTTCAGCAATACTGATCAATCTAATAAACTTAAACCTACACCATCCTCCCTATTCTGGTATTTTAAAGAGTACTTAGCATAAATATTAAGCAACCTAACTAATAGGGTTCCAACTCCCAGCAACAACAAAAATAAATAAAAGAAAAATAGGGAACCACCCCTCACGCTCCACCTCAGATAGATAGATAGATAGATAGATAGATAGATAGATAGATAGATAGATAGATAGATAGATAGATAGATAGATAGATAGATAGATAGATAGATAGATAGATAGATAGATAGATAGATAGATAGATAGATAGATAGATAGATAGATAGATAGATAAGATAGATAGATAGATAGATAGATAGATAGATAGATAGATAGATAGATAGATAGATAGATAGATAGATAGATAGATAGATAGATAGGATAGATAGATAGATAGATAGATAGATAGATAGATAGATAGATAGATAGATAGATAGATAGATAGATAGATAGATAGATAGATAGATAGATAGATAGATAGATAGATAGATAGATAGATAGATAGATAGATAGATAGATAGATAGATAGATAGATAGATAGATAGATAGATAGATAGATAATAGATAGATAGATAGATAGATAATAGATAGATAGATAGATAGATAGATAGATAGATAGATAGATAGATAGATAGATAGATAGATAGATAGATAGATAGATAGATAGATAGATAGATAGATAGATAGAATAGATAGATAGATAGATAGATAGATAGATAGAATAGATAGATAGATAGATAGATAGATAGATAGATAGATAGATAGATAGATAGATAGATAGATAGATAGATAGATAGATAGATAGATAGATAGATAGATAGATAGATAGATAGATAGATAGATAGATATAGATAGATAGATAGATAGATAGATAGATAGATAGATAGATAGATAGATAGATAGATAGATAGATAGATAGATAGATAGATAGATAGATAGATAGATAGATAGATAGATAGATAGATAGATAGATAGATAGATAGATAGATAGATAGATAGATAAGACTTAATAGTCACTATATATAGTAATTGACTTCTATTCCTTTTACATCAAATTAAAACTTTGGGTGTCAGATAATTATTTATTAAAAGCTAGACATTTTAAATGAGAATAAGAAAGAAAAGTATGTCTTTGTGCCCCCTTTTCCCTGTTAATGCCCTATCGGCCCCCCTGGCTAAACTTTGCTAGATCCGCCCCTGCACAGTTACCAGCCGTCAGCTACGTAGAAAAAGATCCTCGAGTAGAAAGTAATATTAAATACATTCTAACAACAGCTGATCAAGCTTAAACGTGCTCCTGTTGTTCAGCCGCTGGTTTCCTCTTTCTGGTGCAAAGTGGGCCAAAAGCAAACTAGAGACACGGACTCGCGACAGAAAAGCCGATCAGCTGATCGTTAAGCAGTTTCACGATTGAAGTAGCAGCAAGAAGAGGCAGTCGCTCCATATATCGCTTGTTAAGCTTAACGCAGGAATGCTTTACATTCAGAGATGGACTTACACACTTGCTTTACTTCTCTCGGGGATAACTTTGTCGGCGATGAAATGCCGGGTTGCTAGCGAAGCTCCAAATGCTATCCAGACCACGACAGGTCCCGCATGCCACAGCCGCTCTATCACGTGATGCCTACTGCTCCGACATGCTAACGTTCTGAGGTGAGTTATGGCGTGTTGCAAGTTTTGTGAGGTGCTTTCGTGATATTTAATGGATCGGATTACATTTTTTATTTTTTCTCCGATATCCGATCCAGTAATTTAGGTCAGTATCGGACCGATACGTAATATCGGATCGGTCCATCTCTAATGAGTACAGTTTATAAGTACAGTGCAAGTGTCCATGAGTGTTAACAGCACAGCTAACCTTCATTCAGGGTGGAGGTAGGGCATGCTTGACAGCCTGTGGGTAGAAGCTCCTATTGAGTCTGATTATCTTTGACCTGGTGGACCAGAGGGAGGGGGAAAACGTGAGTGTCCAGGGTGTGAGGGGTCCTTGATGATACTGGCTTTCCGCTGAAGTCTGCCAGTATAAATGTCTGGGGGGGGGGGGGGGGGGGGGGTTAGTGAAGTGCCGATGAGCTCAACACAGAAGGTGAGGAAAAAATGCTACCGTTTCACCAAATGGATTTCAATTAATACATATATGTACACATACACCCACATACGACTGTGTTGAAAGGCTTTGAGTAATGAACCCTTTTTCAATAACAATAATTGTCAAGTTAGAGGTCAAGGTCTGGGCCTCTTTGCTTAGGCTGCTGCCCCCGCAACCCGGCCCCGGACAAAGCGGATGAAAATGGATGGATGGAATAATTGTCAAGTGTTCTGTCTGAGGTGCCCACACTTGAAAAAGACCAGACTTTGAATTTTGCTCAATTCATTTTGACCAGCTAGTTAGATAGCTGATAGGTAGATGGATAGATATGTAGATAAGTGAAAAACCTTTCAACACAAAAAATAAAGAACATTTCATTAATCATTCAGATAAATTAACTGCATTATACAGAAGACAAATGAAATAACAAAAATATATACACTTCAGTAAAGCCACTTAACATAGCTAAAGATAAATACTTTTGTCTAAACTATCATTTAACCCAGTTTGAGTTAGTTTTACATTCATTTGGTTTTTAAATCACAGAGCTGAGTAATTACAAAAAAAATGAAGATGAACTGTGGTTCTTAAGTACACAAAGTGTGTCTACCTTGCATTTTTTACACTTTTATAACAATTACATTTTTAAAGTATACATTTTAGAGTTTGCAAATATTTTAAATAGAGACTTTAACCAAGGATTTTCTTTTACAAAGAATTTTCCTTAAATTAAACCAAACATATTTACACGAGTTTTAAGATTTAACCAAGGATTTGGGGGTAACTATTTTTAGTATTAATTAACATAAATGTGGGAAACACTACCTACATAAACAATTTATTCAAACTTAAACATTCATTTTAATATCAGTATAATTTTTTTTTAAACTTAAATGCAGTAACTATTTCCCAAAGCATAAATACATTTCCACAATTGAGCTTCCATAGTTCCCCAACATATAAGCAGCAAATATGAGTCCAAGAGCTTACCGATAGCCCGTCTAGCTCAAAGCCTTCCTCACAGTGGAAAGTGGATTGTGCTTCATTTGCTGTCCTCTCAGTATGTCGCACCCAGGTCAAATGACTGCTGCATGCATTTTAAGGTCTACTAGGCACGCCCGCCCTTGATTGCTCTAATTCAGCTCACCTGGCGGAGCGGCGCGCACCAGGCCGCGCTTAGCTGTAGATTGCACAAGGTCTAATCAGCGGCCACGCGCAAGCAGCAGCACAGAGCAGGTAGTGGGCAGGAGGAGGAAGAGAAGAGTAACAGCCACACCTACTAGGTCAGCGCAACAATAATAATAATAATAATAATAATTCTTTATTTAAAAGGAACAGTGCAGTTTAACACAGTCCAAGTATGAAACATAAAACTGATGTACTGCACATGAGTTTATAGCTGTTGCTAATTTCCAACCATTGTCCCTTGTTGGGCTTACATTGCTTATAATACAAGCTTCAGTGTTTCAGAAAGCTTCATTTGGCCATCACTGATATCAATAAAATCTGTAAACTCTCTCCATACTCTTTTACGTCCATGCTACAGAGGTAGCCCCTCGTTTAGGAATAAGGTCCTCGATTTGTTTTGACTGGTCCTTTTGTTTGAAGCTACCTTTTCTCCCTGTGAAATACAGCAGCTGGACCTTTAGCTAGCAACACACTGTTAGACAAACTGCATGCAAACATTTGGTGCGTTTCAAATTTTTGTTGAGCTGATAAAAATGCTGCATTTGAAATTAGCTGCCACTTAAAAACTATTACTCCACGTATGCTCGCTCATCTTGTGTGTGGCTAGATGCTGAAGTACTGTGACAGCAACGTATGAGCGCTGCAGTCACTCCAGCGTTGTGCCAAAATAAAAAACACTGGCCCACTTTGACCCCTGACTATGGCCCACAGTTTTCTTTCTTTCATTTTCATGTGTCACACTCTGGTGATTAATACACCATCTGGATTGCCGTTCATGTGTTACTGTTTAAGCTGTGATGAACTAACTCCTCTCAAAGGCCTTAAACCAAAAGTAACACATCTGTTTGGAAATGTAAGGAGTATAAAGTACAGATTATTATTTTTAATGTAGGGAGTAAATGTTAAAAAACAACAACCTTAGTTTACAAACAGACTCTTCACTGAACCAAGCTTGCAACTATTACACTGGATTTAAATTATAGGAAACAGGGGAAAGAAATATAAGAAAGTATAGACCTGGTAAACATGTATTACTATTCTGAGTGTGTTAGCATGCTAGCATTAATATTTGTGTAAAGCAGGGTGGATGGGCATGATTTTAGTGTGTTTGAACAATCATTCATTATTTTTAACACCAGGTTGGATGTAATGTGTTACTGTTACCAGTAGGTGGTGATAAGAGACCTTTAGGTGTTTGGTGCCACACTCCACCTTCAGGTTTAAAATTAGTGTTAATGGAGGGACTTTGAAGGTTCAGTTTGTTCAGCGACTGCATTTCACTCATTTCCTGTGTTTGTATCTCTGTCGCTGCAGGACCAACATGGACAGAGAAGTCAGCGCTCTCAGGAGGCCGACAAACCTCACAGAAGAAAGAGAGAGAAAAACTACAGCTGTGACGAGTGTGGGAAGGATTTTTCTCGCAAAGCTTCACTAACAATGCATCAAGTCATCCACACTGGAGAGAGACCGTTCAGCTGTGACTTGTGTGGAAAGTCTTTCCCCTGGGATAGTTGCCTAAGAAAACACCAACTCGTCCACAGTGGAGTGAAAGCGTACAGCTGTGATCAGTGTGACAGAGCTTTTGATCGCAGTTGCAGCTTACAGAGGCAACTCTGGAACTAAGACATATAGCTGTGACATTTGTGGAAAAACTTGGCGAGACAGCCGAAATAGACACCTACGCATTCACACCAGACATGTTGTGTACTGGTGTGATCAGTGTGGCAAACAGTTTATAACAGATGTACAGTTACAAAGCCACATGTTTACCCATGCTGAGGAGAAACCTTATAAATGTGACCTGTGTGAGAAGACTTTTAAAGCTCCACGTTACCTGAGACGACACCAACAGATCCACACCAGAAAGAGACTCTACAAGTGCAGTTACTGTGACGTATGTATGTTTATTTTTATCTTATAATTTTAGCCTGACTGTTTGGGAAAACTCAGCTCATTAAATTGTGTTAACATGTTGGAAATTCTACTGGACGGAAAAGCAGCTCTGAGTGATTATTCAGATTTTAATTTCATTTATGGTTTTTGTTTACACTGTCATGAAAAACTAAAATTGCTGTAATGTAATCCTCAGGGAGTTTCGTGGTATATCATGGTTTTGTTGTTATTTCAGCATAAATGACCTTTGGTTTACAGCGGCTCATTCCTCTGTCAGGTGTACGTGGAATACAATAAAACACAAAATAAGTACAAAACCAAACCATTCAGTAATCTTCTCTTATGTTAACAAAGTTGTATCGTTACATATTGGCATTGTAGTACTTTAGCTGTAGTATCACTGCTTCCTTGTAGCTCAAGTACTTTTAGACATCAGTGTTAAAATACTCATTTAATATTATCATTGCAGTGTCATGGGGGTAGTAGTGTTTTTTCTTGTGTCCCAATCAGCTGAGTACCGTAACTGCACAGTTGCAGTGTTTCGAATGCAGTATTAAATTAATATTATTGGAGTGTTACATTAGTAGTTTAGCACTGTGTTGGTACCCTGAAAATATTAGCATGGTGTAACATTAAATAAGTATTACTGTAGTATTATGGTGGTAGTATTGTAGTTATCGTATCCCTGTGAACTGAGAAAGTAATTGGAGTAAAAAGTAATTGGACGTTGGCAGAGATGCTTTTTATTTCAGGCGACGTTCACGATACAAATGTTGAAGGACTGACTTCCACTGTCTTTGTGTCTTTGTTTAGAAGCAGAGCGGTGCAGATGGGTCCAGTTCTCAACCCTGTCATCGCTGTGGTGGTGGGAAAACTTTTGTTGTGACCTTTGTGGAAAATCTTTCAGTCATGCAAAGAGCCTAAAAATACATCAACGTAGACACACTGGAGACAAACTGAAATACTGCAAAGAATGTAGGAGAAGCTTCCCCAGATCACATGAGTTAAAACACCATGAAGTCATTCACAGTGGGGTTAAAAAGCACCTCTGTGATCAGTGTGGGTCATCGTTCACCACTGCAGGTGAGCTTAAAACACAAACGAGTCCACACAGGAGAGAAACCATACAAGTGCACACACGGTCACACTCACACAGCTGTGACCGGTGTGACAAGACTTTCAGGAATCTCAGTTCATACTCCGAACACAAACGATCCCACACTGCAGATAAACTGTTTCACTGCTACAAATGTGCAAAAACGTTCACTTCACTATCTGTTCTGTGCAAACATCAGCGTGATCACGGTGAATCTGGTGTCAGGGTCAGACTTAAAACTGTTGAGATCAGGCTCCACAGAGTTCAGCTGGAACCGCATGTAAAGAACTGATGAGGCTGCTGTAAATATAAATGTTCCTGCAGTTACATCTTAAGCTTTCTAAACTCTTCTACTTTAGTGCTCTTATTGAGTGGTTAGCTTTTTTTTTTTTTTGTTGGAAGAAGAAAGCTTGTTATGTAATCAAGTTTTTATTGAATGCATTTTGATCCATGTGTTCTGTAGGTGTTCTTTGTTCAGGCTGTCTGTGTTATGAAACTTTGCAACGGTTAAATAAAAAATGAAAATGTTAAATAAAGAAATGGTTTAATGACAGCTTGAGCCATGATGTCATTTCCTGTATTTCAGAGTAAAGACTCGAGGGATGAATGGAAACATGTTTACAGTCAGAGTCAGATTAACTGTTTTCAGTGACCCAGATGGAGGTTTATCGGAGGACACTTGGCTTTCCTTCCCTCACACTGAACAGGGTTCCTGCAGCTTATTACAAACTCTGATCTTAAATTTAAGAAAAATAAGATCTTTAAAATCTTGTATTTCTTTTTATCAAACTTGCTGTAGGTGTTAAAACTTCTGATTTTTTTTTTTTTTATTTTTTTTAGGGAAAATAATCTTTTATAGTTGTGGTTTCATTTGCTCAGAGTTTATCAGCGTTTCCTGATACAAGGCAGGATGGATCCATGCTTTTGTGTTTTTTAAGACAAATTCTGAAGCTAAAATCTGAATGTTACAGAGATTGAGACCCATCAGATCAGGCAACATTTTCAATCTTCTGTTGCCCACAAAAGGGGACAACAGAAGATAACTGTGGAAGGAGAACGAACTGGGAGATCTCAGGTCCAGTTTACCTCCTGGGTACGTCAAGCTCTTCCTCTGCTAATCGTTCCAAACACGGAAAGCTTTTAGGAACATTTAAAGTTTGTTTGGTTTTTAAGTAAATTTTGTGGAAGCCTCAGTCTGAGATGATGGTTACAGAAACTGTGCAAGGATGACGTTTCGTACTTATTTGATATAGAGAAGTGAGTCACCAGAGAATGGACACATGTTAGACATGCTGGAGATGGTTTTTGTGTCACAAAAGACTTCAAAAAATATTCAGACTCACAGACATAATAATGATCAGAAGAGCATAACAAGCATACGGATGCAACGCCCACTTTTTCTCCATTTCATGCATGAGAGCAGATTTTAAGAGAAATGCATTGTCAAAGCTGTCGTCAAAGACTGCTACGGTAGCAACCGAGCCAGCTAACACACCTGGTCAGGAAACCTGAAAGTACTAAGTGCTGGTTAGTACTTTCAAAATATGAGTGTGGGGATTGTCTAATAATAATAATAATAATGGATTGGATTTATATAGCGCTTTTCAAGGCACCCAAAGTGCTTTACAATTCCACTATTCATTCACTCTCGCATTCACACACTGGTGGAGGCAGCTACAGTTGTAGCCACAGCTGCCCTGGGCAGACTGACAGAAGCGCGGCTGCCATATCACGCCATCGGCCCCTCTGGCCAACACCAGTAGGCGGTAGGGTAAAATGTCTTGCCCAAGGACACAACGACCAGGACAGACAGACAGAATCAATTGTGAGCGCTCGTGTCGCCTCAGATGGATAAATAGAAATAAGTCAGTAGGTAGA